TACTCATGTTAATGAATTAGGGAACAACCTCATTTTATGGTAGTCGGTTACTTCACCACTCTACAGTGTGAATCGCCCTATGTATTCTAGAGTGGACACTTCTCCTAAACCAGTGAATAATGAAAATTTTGGCATCTTGTACCCTTTAGGCCATGGAAATACTTGATCTACCCAATCAGGATATGATTTCGTGTAAGTAGGCCTAATGACAGGACGTACCCCAAGAGCCATTTGATCCTGCACTATTTTCATGATTTTATTCCTCAACATAACATTGGGATCATATGGAATTCCTGCATGTTGGTTTAATGGTTGATTTGCTTGAGGCCTAATATTTGGTCCTTGGTTGGCAACAAAATTGCCATTGTTTGAGCCGTTATTGCCATTAAACTGAGTGTTCAAACCATCATTAAGGCGCGGGGCGTTCTGTCCATCATTCATGACATTATCTCTTATAATTGAAATACCTCCGAAGTTAGTAATCTCATTACCACCATTCAAGTTTGGCGTTCCATTACCCCCCTGGTTTGAAGTAGACGGACCAAAGGGTGGTTCTAGTCCTTGATTTAAGTTCAAATCAGAAGAATTATGTGGTGAATTATGCCCACAATTGTCTTGGTTTGAAAGTGGTTTGCAATATGTATAACTGGTTGACACATTTGGCCTACTAACTTGTTCATTATCTCATTTAATGTATTTAGTTGTTTGACCATATTGTCATAATGTGCATTCCCACTTTGGGTAAATCTTTCCATATTATGAACATTTCGTAGATTTACATATTCAACGACATCTTGTGTGAGTTCTCCAAGCAATGCACGCATAGTTCGAGGACTCAACTCTGTCATTGGTTCGTAACGACTGTGACTGCTTTGACTCTGTCCCTCTGTTCGTGGAGAGTTTTGCTGCTCCTCATATCGCTCAATTACAGACAGGACTACTCCGTGACTTAATGGTTCCTTATCAGAATGTTTATGAGGCATAATGCTTCACTTTTTCTATCTTCAACACTAAACACCAATGTCCCACTGGGCGTGCCAAATTGTTTCGCACGGGCAGTTGCTAACAATTAAAAAAGAATTCCGACGATTGTGTAAGGGACAAACTTCTTGAGATAAAGTCCAAAAAGGGGTGCTTTATTGATGAGAATTACAATTGAAAATAAACAGAATGCCTCCAGGGGCGCAAACGCACGAGTACTGAAAATGGATAATTAAAGTAAATTTAAGAAATTGAAATTACATATTCTCTGTTTGAAAGTGTTTGATTCGGGATCTTTTATCTATGTCTTCTCTTCCTTTTTATATTCCCATGATAATTTCTTCGTGACAACAGCTTGAAAACTGCTTGATTACTTTATAACTACCAGCTTTCTTCATGGTGGCTAAATTGTCGTGGAATTGTCATCTCTAACTGCTGCCATTACTCTTTGTCGTTCAACCGCCTTCAAATGGACTCCTTGAATCGTAGAATGTGATAAGTCTACTCGATAACTGCTTCAATAACTGTTACTTTGGATAACCATAATATCTCATGTTTGTTAAGATTTTGGGCGATTCGAAGGTTTGAGCGAGAACGAGGTCATCGCTCTGGGCGACCGTAAGGCACTCCATTCGCCCAGATTCTGGACGTCTTGCAAGCTTGGACGATGATATTACTGTGTTCGTGGACTTCCTCTGCATTCACCAATAATTTTATTTGGGCATTTATCCTGGACTCCCCAATTGGGCCTCACTCTTTGGGCTATTTAATTTGGATTGCACTTTTAGTGTGTCAACAATAAATTTAAAATCATAAGCAAAATTTGATAAAAGAGCCGTGCATAGCTTTTGTTTGTCTGAAGCTGTAACTTATAATTATCAACAACTTGCTTCGGAAAAATATTTGATAAAAAAAAAAACTGACATTTAAAATAAAATATATACACGAGCGAATGGTTAAAAAAAAAAAAAATTAACAAAAATCACATTACTATTACAAATACAAAACATTGTTATAAACTAGGAAGTGAAATGTAATATACAAGATCTTTCTTGAGATACTTTTAAAAGTATATCTGCCTAGTAAAAACTTGTGTATGCAATTTCTTGAACACAGTCTCCACGGAAGTGAAATCAATGTCGAATCCATAACTTTGACCTCCATACAGCACATAAAGGTATTCTTTAGAGGATGAAGGTGGAGGCATAATTTCACTAATATCTGGAAATTCAGACGTAGGTGGTGAAGGCAAATCTCTCTTTCTTGAGTAGTAAACATCAGATAAGAGAAGCCATATGAGGTCGGGATCAACGTATGCAAGTCCTACAAGAGCATTAACAGAAGCATCTAGAAGACCTTTAACACCACTGCATGCTATCCCGACTACCAGGCCACTGACCTTTTTGAAGACGGCTTCCAATGCTGAAGAGCTTCTTTTGTTCCGAGCCAAGTCTGAAATCATGTTCAGCAATTCTGCCTGGACTTTGAGGCTGGAAATTTCAGCAGGTGGATCCTCCGATGATGTGGAGATGCTCCTGTAAGGAAGTTGGAAAGGGGTTCTTTCTTCTCTAGAGAAGGGTTTCTTTTGAAAGGGTGATGTGCTTAGGAGTTTCCAGAAGTGAATCCCATCAGCACGAAAACGGCGAGAAAAGAATTCTCCCCCACAGATTTGTACCACTGTACTAATCGCATGAGAACATCTTCGAATGGTCTGTATTAAAATTTTCAAATAAGATAAGCAACAATTCCAAGACATGTAAAGAGAGTTCTGATGGATCAAACAGAAAAGTGAAATTGTTCTGGCCTTCACACATTCACGTTGCAATCATAGTAGATAATCCTGTCACTAGCAGACCACAGTTTATAGACGGCGTACTTTTTGTTACATGCACTTGATGATTTCAAAGAATCCTTGTAAATTTTATCTTAATGAATTTCCATCTAAATAACGAGTATCAAATATCCAACAGTCAAAATTAGGACCATTTGCATCATATGATATAGCACTTAGTTTTCTTTCTCCTTTTAGCTAAAACGTCTGAAAAGCTAGGAAACCGAAGATGGCATTAATATTTCTGATTTCAGGCTATTAAGCAGAGAATCAAATAACTTACCACTGGATTCTTATTTCGGACACAACAAACCAAGAAAGGCCAAATTTTATTCATTGCAGGGAGCAATCTATTCTCTCCTGTTTCATCTTCAGCTGCATCTAGGGTATCCCGAAGAATATGGAATGAACATGAGCTAAAGAATTCCTGAATTGCCTCTTTGGTTTTAATCTCATGCTTGTAGGCTTCTTCCACTTTGGCTAGTGCGATAATTCCATCCTTGAAGAGATCGGCAAAACAAATTTGAACAAGAAAAAACCCTTGACACTTCGTGAACAAAATAAAGGATTCTAAAACAACACATCTTGATCATCAAATAGATCGCCTCCAAGTAATTTTTACGAACTTCTAACAATAAAAATTATTTACTGTAACACTTACAGATAATAACTCTATCAAAACATTAAGCCCCTGTTTGAGCCCCCATTGTTTCAAAACCCCTTTTTTTTAAAACTTATTTACTACCACACATTTTCCCAATAAAATAATTTTACACATAAACCCAAAACTTTTTTCTACATTTTAACCATACATTCTCCAAAAAATCACTATTATAAAATCTATTTTTCAACAAAATGGGGTTCAAACAAAGGCTAAAAGTCAAAACATTAAAAGCAAGTGAATCTTATTAAAACTGGGTACAGTTTAAACAGGATAAAATTATCAAAAATAATTAAAGAAATTAAAGATTAGACATTCTATTAGGCAATCTAAAAGGAGTCATCTAGAATGAAAAGTGCTAAGAAAATCATTGGTCAAATTTGTAAGATAGAGGTTGACGTCTTAAATATCAAAGCCAATAGATTGCTCCATGCCCCATAATAAATTACTTGGACAGAAGTATACCTCAATCACATCCAGTGCTATCAAACATGCTGCTTGATCAGCTGAAGCAATTAATGGAGTTGCAGCTTTTAAACATGATCCGGCAATAGATCCAACTATTCTTCGGTATCTTCTGGAATCAGTCAATTTGAATAAAATTGACTCCCATTCTTCCATTTGCGTATTTGCACCATTGGGACGACTTTCCGTCTCTGTTTCCGGAACAACATTAAGAATGTTAAATGAGCCATCACTTTCATTTGTAAAAGATGCAATTCTTTGTAACCCCAACACCAAATTTGATTTATGCTCTGCTCTTTGGGACAAATTTCCTTCAGACTAAACAAAAAGTACATGCATTTTCTTTTTTATGAAACAGCATTCAACTTGACACGTGGCATTCTGAACACATAAATTCAGAGAGGGTTCATAACAGAGAAAGCTTTGTGCATGTTTGGGAAGTGATTATAATCAGTTTAAATTATATATTGGTAGATAAGTGGGCAGTATTTATGATTCTCCCGAAATGTGTGGATCAACAGTAGGTTTGACTGATAATGTCTATAAATTAAATGGGTTCCAAAAAAGAATTCAATGTTTTTCCCCTCTTTCCATATTTCATCATTTATTAGCAGCTCAGGTCACCGGTCATTAGGATTAAACTGCCATGGGCAAATATGGAGTTGATATCTTCACTGACATGATCTTTTAACTGAAGGAAGGACTGGACCATATCCAAGTCTTACTTCCAGTGGGCAAAACTCATTGATTTCAATCATTGGTGAAATGGTAGTTAATAGCATGGTTCCTAAAAACAGAAGGGCCTTTATTTCTGTTGAGAAAACGATTTTCATGTCAACTAGAAAATTCAGAAGCAACTTCATAATTAACAACAAAGGTATTTAATGAAACACTTCAGGCACAAAAGAGGAAAAAAGTGAGACAAAACATGAAATGTATAAGCATATACATGTATATTTATAATGCTTCCTTTTTGCCCAGGTCAGATGGCAAAAATTACAAGATGAGATTTTCTCTACATCCACAAACTAATAGAAGAAGAAAATCAAGATCAGATTCAGAGGTGGCCCACCAAGTTTCTCATTGTTCCAATTGTTTCATATAGTGACTCAAAAGGATATCACCAAACGGAAGTACTTGATAAGAGAAGGAAATAAAAATCGTATTTTCACGAATGAAGCCAATCCCCACAACAATTTATATCAAGAACCACCATTGGGATATCAAAGCTATATCTAACAAACAGTTGAGGGACACTCACCCAATTCCATGTAATCTATATCCTTGGTATTATCAACATATGAAGTTGAAGTAGAAAGCTTTCCTGTTCTCTTCTCTGAATTCAATATGTTAAAATTGACATCCTTCCAAAATGACTCCGCTTTGTTTGGTAGTGTGCAAGCCTCGTGTTTGGACGCCTTGGTTATTTCTGCCACAGCCTATAGAAACAAATAAATCAACAAATTGTTTAAGGTCGTAAAGCAATTATGATAGTTGCTACAGATAGCACAAATAAATATAAAAATGCTAAATCAGCAAAAGCCTGATAATTAGCCTAAGCAAGCAATTGACTTGTAAAGCTCTTAAGTTGATTCAAAAGAATAAAATAATGAGCACATTTACACGTGAAATGAATCAATAAATCAAGGTAGAGAACGTATTATTATAGAAGACCCAGTATCTGATAACATACACGACACAATCAAAACATGTAATGCAACACAGGAAAAATTGCTTGCAGAGATAACCTTTAAGAAGGAAGTGGTCAAATTTGGATGCTGGTGCCTTCCAAGAATTTCAAGTTCCATAGACACTGCACCCATCTGTACAAGCTTATTGCATCAGGTCATAGGTTGCACATATAAAATTAAAATGGTAATAAATCTCATTTCTCAAAATGGGAATGATGGCGAACAAGACAAACTGATTCCTGTAACAGTAAACTCATACCGGCTCCTCCAATAATGGCAGTACTTTATCAGCAACTCCAACATAAGAAAGCATCGCAGCAAGTATATTTGGCACGTGAGGATTAAGATCTAAGTGGCGCAGTTGCTGACATATTGAATCAATTACGTAGTCTGAATTAGCCAATACTAAGTGACCCACCTGCAAGAATTTTTTGAATTATGTTTTCACTGATTAGAGAACCATCAATTAAATACAGCATAACAAGTACTCACCGATGCACAGTCGTGTATAGCAGAGATAACACGTAAGACAGCATCACATGCCCTTCTGATTTGAAAATTTGAGCAAATAACATTTTCAAGCAACATAAAAAGTGAAGAATGAAGAAATCCCGACGATGAAAATTCTTTTCCAAGGCAAATATTAAATATGCCAATCCCCTCAATAATAACCTGTTGAGAAAAAAAAACCTAAAATCAATACAGCAAATTTCAAATGTCTGCAGTTCATTTTCAGTATGATAAAATCTTAAAATATCCATGCAAGTAACCAAGTTTGAGGTGAGAGAAAATATATGTTTCCTGATGTAGCATCCCATTGTCATGGAAAAAATATGAAGTTACGTCTCCATCTTCTTCATCAAGTTGTCGGAGAGAGGCTCTATCACCAAGTGGAAGATCCCAAATTTCAGAAGACAGATATTCGTGTAATATGCTACCAACGCAATCGATCAAGTGGGTCCTTGCACCACTATCCCGATCAATATTCCAAACATATTCCTCTTGTGCATCACATACAAATTCGCGAGATATACCGTTACCATCTGCATGAAAGCTCTCAGTGTCTTGCCATCCTAAACTGGACTTCTCAAACATTATCCGGAAAGTGGTCATAGCTTCATCAGACAGGCCAAATATCATCTCATTCAAAATACATGCAGCAGTACTAGCTTGTCTCACCAACTGCCCTGAACCTGTTCTCTTATACCATGACTGCCAGCTTTCCTTATGGTACTCTTTCATCCGTATTTCAGAAATCAATTTATGCAAGTGCCCCAGAGGAATATCAATTATAACGGAAAGAGAGCCTTCAATTTGAGAGTCTAGACAAACCGAAAAAAGATTGACTTGGATTAAGTTTTGGCCACAGAAAAAGTATTATGAAGAAAATAAATAGATGTACGGAAAGACAAAACCTACCTGCAAATAAAGATCTAGCAAAGAGTCTAAGAATTCCAGCCAAAGCAGGGTACAAATTCTGGCTGCCAACATTAACAAACCAAGGTGGCAAGTGAGGGAGCTCATACTCAGTCTGTTCATTTTCAGGCATATATAGCATTTTCCTATTTTGAACATCTAAAGGCACTGAATCATCAGTTATAGCCTTCAACTCTGCTATGGAACGCATGAATCCAGAGGATGATGGCCTTGCCAACACAAGCTTGTCAAGTGAACCAGAAAACACTGAGTTCTGACTCAAACAAAGGGAAAAAACATCCAAGAATTGAGCAGCCGTCACCTGCATGACAATGATACAAATGTATGTTCAGAAAGAGAACAAAAATCCTTCTAAAACCAAAAATAAAAGTAAATTTAGTTTCTCTATTAATGATTATATCAAACTTGTCATTTTATAATGCACAGACACTTGGCCTCTGGATATTAGGGCAACTAAGGGGTTGTTTCTCCTACTTAGCATCATCTATGATGACTTGTGAGAAAAGGACAACAAAGAAGTGGAAAGATGTAATCGATAGCAAATCGAAATTCACTAAGAAAATATTAATGAATGGACGCTGAGACTGATTACATAGTCCCTCTGATTAGTAGGAGTCACTTATGTGAGACACAATGAAAACATTGACCGGGTTAGTATTCTTCACAAATAATGCATGCCCTCATCCGAGCTAGTGTTACGTAACAGCTCATCTGACTAGAACTTATTAAGCTCATGTTTGGACTCCAGAAAACAAGGAAAAGTTTTGGGTTTAAGTGTAACATTATTTTATGGGAGAATGTGTGGTTGAAAATTAGTTTTGGAAAAATGCATTTTTAGAAAATTGGAGCCTAAACGGGCTAAATTATCAGGAAAAAAAAATTAAAAGGAAATCTGAGAAGGTGAGTGTACAGGAGAATGAAGGAGGTAGTCTGCCACGAGTTGGGGACCAGAAAAATATGTAACTGCAAGTAACTTCCGAACATGTGATAGTGCAAGTGACTCTTCACTACCCAGTACCACTTGCGGGAGCTTTTCAACAAGCCTGTAAATGAAATACATAACCAACATTATCAACCTTACAAGACAAGGCATCATAGATAGGGTAACATACAGCAGAAAGGGATGAACTATACCTGCTAAAGACCTTGGCAACGTCACTCTCTAGTTGATGTTTTACACTTGACGAGAACATATGTCTAAAGAATGCCTGAGCATCTGAAGAGACCTCCTCAGAATCGTCACAGACCAAAACACACAAGCACTCCTGCATTATCAACCAGCACGTATCCAATAATGTCAAAGTTACTAACAGCTCACAATTAAATATCCATACCAATGAATTTCAGCTACAGACAACTTACATATAACTATAGGTCAACCAAATATCATAGCACTCTGAAGCATCTCATAATCCAGAACATCAATTACGAGGTCAGGCTAAGAGAGAGGTAAGATACACCAAAAGACCCTTTTGTCATCTAGATAGAAGAAAATTAATGAAATTCCAAGTTGCACTTGGTCTATGTGACTTGGCAGGAAAGAGAGGTTTTGGAAAACCGACCCTTTGTCACAGAATGTGAGATTGGACAGTACTCCATATCAACCAACATTCACCCTATTTAGGATGCTGTCAAATGTTGCAACTTTAGAACATGAGCAAGCAGGAATTAATTTGAAAGCACCCGCAAGAGACAGAAGCACTAGAGCATCTTCTTGATACTAAGATGGCTCCCAGATTTACAGTTTCCTCATGTATAAATTAAGTCATGCATTGTTACGGGTAGTAATATCAGGAGAAAAGGTGGGAGAAGTTGCCAGTATAAATGAAGTGCAGAGGGTAGAGGACAGAGATGATTCTGTTTCTGTATTTCTCCAACATATACAAAGAACAAATACTCTTCTCATCCAGGACGAAAGGATGATGGAAAGGGAACTAAATCAGCCAAAGCTAATAAGTGACAACAAGATCCATTTTCAAAAGTTCCAAATTATGCTGACGTAAAGCAGTAAGCAAAGGCACATCACCACAGACTCTAAAGGAACTCAATTGCATAAGTTCACAGATATAGTTGCAAGCTCACCAAAAGCATCAATCTGCTTTCCTTTAGTGTGTAACTGCATTTCGATAAGAATGCCTGCACAGTGGCCAGAAGTCCCTGTCTCACTCTTTTGGTTGGATGAACACAAAGCTGAAAGATGCAAGAAGAATTAGATTTTTCAACAATTAAAGTTCAGCCTGAAGCAGAAAACTGTGGAATCACAACTGCGATAACCTACATGGGGAAAAGTTGCAGACAAAAGTTTATCAACATGAGCAGAAGTGTTAGCGATCCACTCTCTCGTGCGCTTAACACGCAATGATCCAATCTTTCTATCAGAATCACCATGAGCCTTCTCTCTGAAGCCAGGTACTGTAATGCCGCCTTCTACAGATTTCGTCAAATCTTTAGCAGTAATTTCTTCCTCACCTTGATTTTTAACAGGCAGATGACGGAGTTCCTCCAGCAATGATGCATATGATTTCTCTTCCCTTGAAGAAAGGCCACAGCCATCATTCACAATGATACCAAGACTAGATATATTCACATTATCCTCGAGAACTATGATAAGATATTCTGCAAAACCTCTGATTGCATGATCCAAGGCTTCCGTACTTCCAGCTGCCCCACTAATCATAGATTTTGATACATGCAACACTTTCCCAATCTGACTGACAACGCCTGGTAAATAGAAAGCCAATGCATCTGCAGAACCAACCTGCAGATTTCCCGTAAATTTATGAATCAAATTCCAATTTGATATGTAAATACTTGAACACCAGGCCACAAAGAAATGTTTCTGCTTCATCACTCATGGAAGCATATAAAGTGCAACTTCCTGCTTGATCAACCTGTACAAAAAATAATGTACAAGTAGACAGATCTCGAGATGCATGATTGTTGCAAGACCGGCAGGAAATGTCCCATCATAAAATGAACTTTTTCTTTATTTTTTGCACGTTCTATGAATTTTACAAATAAATGATTCTGTTAAGAATGTTTATCCCATTGGCAGGTAATTCCACATGATGTGTAAACATATTAAATTTATAAATTAAATCAAGAATTAGAATTATAAAGCATATTTAAGATGCTGTGTGGAAGAAAGACATAATAAGGAAAAGCACCATTAAGCACCAGTAGAAAGAAAAGCCAACCAAAAAAAGGAGTCAATTTATCATTTTCCTTAATGCTACCAAAGTTTTCATGACTTATAATAACTGAGGTCTGCACAAAAAGATGAAAGAAAATGACAGCACCTTTGCAACAAGCACTCGTAATGCAATGAAGGCTTCTACACGAAGCTTTGAACTGCCACGATGTCCACGTGTGGCCTCAACATCTGCAGCCTTCACACATATTGAAAGTCAATTTTTTGGAGTAAGTTGCTACGTGATACGAGAGGAAAATGAGTTAACATACTGTGGTACAAGTATCTCAGGAAAGAATATTTATCTATGGAAGGACAGAATTACATGCCTTGAGCAAAAGTGAAAGCCAGTGACCAACGATGGCTGAAGCAGGTTCAGATTGAAGAAATGCTAATAAACATTGTTCTGGAACTAAATCATATTTTGAGACCTGAGCACATGAAAACTGAACATCTTTTCTACCTAGAAGAGTGGGGCAACCACCAATTTGTTTGCATGGACAGGACTCATCAGAACAAGAATGGAGATTAAGCAACAGACCCTTGAAACACCTTATTACTCCTTCACGAAACTCTTCTGAAGCCTCAGATGGAGAGAGCAATGCCCCATGAGTCAATTTTTTCAGTATCACAACCATCTGTACACAAAACATTTAGGTTCTTAAGTCGAAAAAACTCCTTTTAAATACAACATGAACATATTCTGATGCATAAACAACAGAGAAATTAAGTTTATTATCCTCAGAGGAATAATTATTGTTATATTACTAAAGAAAATGCCTCTAATTTCCTTAATTTTTCATCCCGTCATGAATCGAATAAGAGGAAATCTCAGCCACTAGTTAGACACACTTAAGTAGATGTTCAACAGAATTATAATAAAGATGAAAAGATAGCATTTACTTACATTTGCAACTCCAATGAGTCAAAAATAATCCAGAAAAAGTTAATTATTGAAATAAAGCTATGATTACAAAAGTCCACTATGTGAAACAAAAGATAAAGCTACGAGCGAAAGACTTTCAAAATCAGAGAAAAAAATATGGAACCAAGAGCAAAAGCATAAAAAAAAAAATGTGAACAAGCATCAACCACTACAAAAAAAAAAAAAAAATCACTGCATAGATCAATGCAAATGGACAAAGAACTATTATCCACCACAATTGATTGGGTAATGAACCGTCCAATTGAATTCTGAAAAGGGTCAAACCACATAAATCAATTGACCGCTACTTTAAGTTATTAGTACCTGATCAACAGATCCTAAACGGCATTTCTTCAGGAGTTCCTCCAAACAAAGAAGTGTGGCTTCTGCCACAGCATCACTCACATTGTGTGGTTTCTCTAAGGCATGAAATGACAGCAATTCATTTTCTGAGTTGGCATTCTGTGAAGATCTGCAATTCACTGCTGCATCTAGCAAAAGCAGCAATGGAAACAAAGTATAGCTGACAACATTAATAAGAAATCTGCCCATATTAAGCAATTGACAGTTGAATACAGAATGTAAAAAAAATGTGGTGAATTCTGAATTGTGTTATTAAATTAGAAAATAAATAAGCTAACAGTTTCTTGCAAAATATGTATCTTCTCAGACCCATAGAACAGACAAAACTAGCTTTCAGTTCCTCACATGGAATTTCTTTTTTCATTTATTTCACATCTAAAAAGAGAAGCATACACTAACACTGCTTATATCCAATAATCCAAGATCATATAACACACCATTTAGTAATCATTATTTCATGGGATATCAAAACTTTAAATCTAGCGATTCTCATTCATTCTATTTCTTCTCTAGAATTACTCACATTCTAATTACTGGAAATATCTCTTCATCAACAGCAGTCCTACAACACACCCATCCCCATGGTCTATCAATCTATCAAACATTTCTTACGCATCAAAAAATTATTACTAAGGCCTTATTTTGAGGTGTTCATATAGAACTCCAGTTTAAAGGCAAATCAAAATATCAAGATTGAAAGACCTAGTCAAAAGAAAGTAACCGGAATGAAAGGCCATATTAAGGTCCAATTCAGCACTTGACATGTTTGGAGAGAGGTTACTGTAAAACAAACCTCCGAAGATAAACAGTGAACATAAATTGTAAGCTTCCCATGAACAAAATGCTCGATAACCATTCAACTAGGTTATAACAATGTCAAAATTTCAAAGATGACACAAGTGCATAATAACATTGTAATCTCCACTTGAACTTCTAATGAGCAGCAGCATTGCCATCATCATCCAGTTTCCACTTATTTAATTTTCAGACATCCAACTTTAGCTTCATGCGGCATCATTTGGTTTGTCTAGCTCTGTGCTCTATCCCTACATTGACTGTGATCACGTGCTCCACCACCATCCATTGCAATGGTAACAACTCTTGCCACCAACCAACTCTATCCCCAACTCCCAAACTCACAGCATTCCCACAGAGTGACAAAAGATTAGAACTCCGATGCTAGATTCATAAAAGATCACCCTCAAGTTCGAATTTTTTTCCTAAACTAAAATACCAAACTCCAGTATGCTGCAATGATTCATCGATGCAAACTCATTTCACTTTCTTGTTACTCGTCATTCCGTTCTCTCTACCCCAATAAGAACAAGTCCCTCCAATTATAAACAAACTCAAGTACATAAAAATTCATTTTTTCCGTTACAATCTTCATTAGCTAGGAACCTTAAAGGCAAATTAACTCTCAAGAAACAAACCCAGGAATCATAATAATAACACATATACACATAAAAAAAAAAAAAACCCCCCAAACTATACAAAAAAATAATAATAATAAAAAACCTTACTCGAAGAAAGGCTGGAGGGAATCAGGGGGTGATCCTTGAAGAAGGTGGAGGAGTTGAGAGAAAGTAGAAGAGGGTATTTTATTTGGGTTTTGAAGGACGTCAAGTAATTGTATACAGTAGTGTTTCAGTTCAGAAAATATAGTGCTGTCTTTCATATTTTCTTCTTCTTCTTCTACTCCACCTGTGATTGCTTTCAACTTTCCTCTGAATGCTTCCATCTCCCCCATTGAATCGCAGTATGAATAATTCAGTAAAATGTAAATAAACGACGATATGGGTATTGAAAAAATAGAGGAATTGAAGACCCTCGAAGAATCGCAAAAATTGCAGGGGTGGCTTAAAAGTCATTTACAAAAAGTTTTAGGGTACGCTCGTCAATATAACACATACTGGATTGGATTCGATTGAATAGGAACTTGGATCGAGATAGAATCCGGGAAGTTCAGAAATTGGGCCTCGTATTTCTTTTCTCCTTGTTATGCCAAAAACTGACAAAAATAGCATTAAATGTTGGAAAAAAATGTTTTATGCAAATATATCTGGCTTTTGTCATTTGTATTTCGTTCCCATATTTCCTAAGGCTAAAAATATTGATACCACATATTAATAGTATCACACTCTTTTCTATCTTCCATCTCTTTCGTTAGTAAGAAGACACCCTTTTGAATAGAAATGCAAAATGCTTGTCGAGAGTCGAACCACTTTATATTAACAAATACACTTTTATGGGCTTTTAGATTCGAAATCCAAGTTCTAATCGAGATATTCTCAATTGTGATTAGATTATTTTTCATTCGTATTTTTCTCAACTTGAGTAGAAATACTCAACCAAAATCAACACTACCAACCTAAAAATAGACATTGGCTTCTAATCGAGGGACTAGATTTAGATCAAGATTCAAAATTTGCCTCATAATCAGATCGAGAATATGGACCATGATAGATAAAATTACAAAAAAAAAGAAGAAGAAATTTATAAACTTTATTTTTTGATCAGTATCTCTAGTAGAAGATCTATTGGACTCCAAGAGGTACCAATAGTTATTGGAAGGAGGAGACCTAGATCCTATTGGTTTGAGTTCAGTCCTAAATCCACACACGCCACGGGATTTGGATCCTATCTAGTTCGATTCGTGTGCCGGTATGAGTATATCATTGTCATACATATATCTTTTTGAACAAATATTACTTCGATTTTTTTTTTATCAAATTAAAATTAATCAAATTTTCGGATATTTAGTGAAATTATTTTTAATATTTTAAATTTTTACTGTTGGCTTGTTTCCGCATATTTTTCTATTGCGACCGCTTCTATTTTTTTTTTTTTTTTTTTTTTTACNACCCTGCTGTCTAAAAATTTACACAATTTTCATTGCAAATATTCTCTGTTTTAAATCTCATTTCTCTCTCTAACTTATGACGTTGTTCTTTGAGTACGAATATATTTTATTGAGTTCGTTGGAACTTCTATTACTTGTGCTACTTCCATAAGAGATGAAATTCATTCTATCTTGTGATACGATTATTGAACGCCTTTAAACACCATAGAAGAGAGCAAATTGATATATCGTGAAGTCGGTAGGTTCTAATTGATATTCTGATCATGTTGATCATCTTATTACGCTGTTCAAATTCATTATGGTAAATTTACAAATGTAAGTATCTTCAAATTGATAGAGTGAAAAAATTATACTCAAAAAACAACAACTATACATTCATCTTAGCATCTACATTATGAACATCTTAATATTACCCTTGTATACCTACCATTCAAATTACTAAAACGATAACAACTCTTTAATATTACCATCACTCATTCTTGCGGAGATTGTGACAACAATAATAATATTCCTCGTATATTTCGTCTTACTTTAGTTAGCTTTGAACCTTTAGATTTCAAACTAATCCTCTTAAAGTCAACTAGAACTAAATCAACAACAAATAATATACACCAGAGATCTCATCAAGAATATGCGAAACACCACCAAAATGTCAAAATTTGGAGGTTTCTGGTAAGAGATGATATCTAACCAAATAATGTTATTTGCAGACGCTCATTACCGTAGTTGCCCTACATAGCATACATGTGGCGATTATTGATTTGATGTTGTGCCCCAGGTCAAAATGCCAATGGATGTTAAACTTTAACTAAGAGCATGTTTGACTAAGTTTAAAATCCAATTAAAATTGAAAATATAGTTGTTATTGGGTCTCACTCGTCTAATAAAAGTCAACAATAGCGGGTATTTTTTCAATTTTAATCCGATTTTAATATTTTCTGAACACGTCCTAAGTAAACCTGTCAACTGTAACGTATACCTAACATGGTTTGTACTTTCCTAATTCTTTGTTCTCATTTTCTAAACTGTGGGGCACAATGCACATAATAGACATTAATTTTTAACTAACTAGTTTTGGCAGTCAACATTTGGATAATTTAGATAATATTTTGTTATTATTTTATTTCTGGAGGACAGAAATATAAGCAGAAACTTGAATCTGCTGGACTTTTTACACCAAACAATATGTATTGAGTACAAAAATTTTGACACGCTTCTAAAAGTACCCCATTTTGTTGACTCTAGATGCCAAAATTTTGAGGTGAAGAAGGCCATATGGGAAAATAAACTACTTCTGGTTCAAAGTTTATCTCCTGGTGTAAACTTGTTGTATGCTCTGTATTTGGCAGATTGTCACTACCATTTCCTCCAGTTAGTCCAAGTTCATTCTCCAAGTATCTTAACCACTCCTTGCATTCATTTTCATCGTCTAGTTTTGCCGCGGCATTTGAATTTTCATCTTCATTTTTTTCCGAGTTAGTAGTATGATAAGGATCCAAGGTATCCAACAAGTTCCAAAAGTCAATATCCGACTCAAAAGGGATTTCATTTTTTTCATCTGAAGTAGTTGACCCCTTTCTCTCCTCCGGCCTTGTAACAATAGCCCCGCTAACGTTACAGAAGTTTGATGCATACGAAGATGTAGGAGAATCATAACTTGCAGTTTCTTTTGGTTCATCACTAGGATGTTTCGACATTACTTTTAGGAACTCGGGTTTCTCATTAGATTTTTTGGCATTGGGTTCTTGAACCGTTTGATCTGTCATTTCCATGATTTGATCTTCATTTGATGTAATTGAACTTGATGGACTAGATGGAGAATCAGAATAATCCATTGGAGAATCACTGGCTTCAGTTTTCCTACTTAATCTTTTCTTCAAGTATGTATTCCACACATTTTTAATCTCATTATCAGTTCTTCCTGGCAAATGAGAAGCAATCTTTGACCACCTAGATATTACAATTAAATAATTACTATAATCCAAGAAAGTAAAGATAATCTATAATAAGTCAATACGTATTCAGATTAAGTAAAATACCAAAGAAATTAATATAAGTTAATAAGTTGCTGTCATACTTGTTTCCAAAAGAATTGTGCAGTTTGATTATGGTTTCCTCTTCCTCAGGTGTGAAGTTTCCTCGTTTTACGTCAGGTCTTAGGTAATTGATCCACCTCAAACGACAACTCTTTCCACATCGCAATAGTCCTGCAAAGATGAAGACAAAAGCCGATGAATTTTATAAAAATCACAAAAAAAAAATGTAATTCGAACTCAGAATGTAAATATAGTACTTGAAACTACACGATAGTCAACAATAGGAAAAGAATTAACTGAATTTATAACTTCGTCTATCGCATTAGTAAAGTTTTAAATATTACAGATGCTGCACCAAAATATATAGGCGCGACGTGAAGAATATGGAAAAATGATCCCGAACATAAGGAAAATCGATTTGTTATCTTTCACAAAAGAAAAGGAAAAAACATACAGCAAGATTCTAGACAGCTGGTGCAAGGATAAACTTCATTTTCATGGAACTAACATAGGTACCAAACGACATAAACTTACCAGAAGTTGATTTTGTTTCGCTAACTTTGAAGACTATTAATTCTTTCACTAACTTGTACCGGTAAAGATCTAATCTCATGAATAGTACATTGAATCAGAAGAATATTATTCAGTTTAATTCATGAAACTTGCAAGAATAAGATCGAAACAGATAGGAGGAGGCAAATTTCTGATGAAACCAACACAACCCTCCGGCTTGAGTAACATAAACACGAACACCAATAGAGAAAGAGAGAAAGATACCTGCTTCTTTAGGGAGAGATCGCCAATTGCTATGTCCTTGTTTCTGAATAAAACTCATAAGCCTCAAATCCTCCGCGGGGCTCCATGGTCCCCTTTTCACCTTGGTTTTATCGCAGCAAGGGGCACGACCTCTACCCATTTCTTATCGGCCGATGAAAACTGTTTAGGATGTTAGGATGTTGTGCGTCTCCTTACATGGTGGTTTCTTTCTCACTTCACCTGCTGCCTATATATAGGTTTATTAGAGATAACGAGTAGCATGCCATGAATATATGGTAGGCAACAGTATTAAAGAGTACAACTATGTGCTTGCTTGGTAAGCAATAAACCTACTTAATGGGAAAACAAATACGATCATTATTGTATGGAAAATCCATTAAAAAAAATTCAGCAAGTAATAAAAACAATAGAAATCATATGATTGGTAATAAATTAATGTCAGCATTTGATTCCTAATTACTAGAAATTGACTATTTGTACAGCATTTACGTTGTTAGTCAACATGGCACTTCATTTCAACCGTTAATTTGAGATCTGGTCTCATTTACACTTTTACAGTGTGTTTCAAATCAGTACACGTAAAACTCATTTAAATTGCAATTAAAAAAAGAAATTAAGCTGTGTTAAGACAAGAATAAGTCACATCTAGTTGGTACATTTACATAAGACTAGTCTACGTTGGACTAACAAGTAGGTTTTGAGGATTAAAAGGCAAGTTTAACTCTATTTTTTCCGGAAAGATGCTCGAGGAATAATAGAGATTTCGTAATCCTTGAACAATAATAACTGCAATCATATCAGGTGAACCCGGATTGGCTCGACTTGATCAGAATAATACCCTATTTGTCAATCGTTATTTTCAGAGGAATATTAGAGATTTTTTTTTTTTACATATTCATTTTCAACCACATTCGCACAATAAAATATTCTGCACGTAACCCAAATTTTTTCCTACCTTTTAACCACGTATTCTTCTAAAAATCACTATTCAAAACTCAGTTTCTCCTAAATAATGGTGGTCAAAGATGGGCTAAGTATCGAGTTCTAATAAATTCTCTATTTGTTGGCTATGGCTTTATGTTTTTTCACACACTAAATGCATTCTTTAATCATCTTAGCAATTACAGTAGTTAATTTTACTAGAAATTATGTCTCCAGATTAACTGAAGCAACACGTTTTTCTTGATGATTATGAGATTGACAGTATTTAGCAGAATCTTGGATTAAATTTTAAGGAATATATAATACATCGTACATTAAAGTACATTATGAAAAAAAATAAACATTATTCTATAAATCATAAATTTCAAGGCAGCGTGATTCCGTGCATGCATCGGCTAGTGTTAAACTGGGAAAAAAATTTAAAAGAAAATTAATAAAATTGTCGATATCTTATTGCAGAGTGGCAGGGTGTTTTCAGCCTGGTGATACTGATACATTTAACATAAAAATTAGATAAATTAAGGCTACTCTCCATAACCTTTTACATAATTCGATTACGAGTCTTCAACTTGTAAAAGTAGATACGAGAATTTCCAATCTACTTAAATCCGTAAACAAAATCGTCAACGTGACTTAAAGTTGAAGTGTTAAATAGTCAAAACACTTTATGTTTCCCTAAAATTCAATCGAAAGTCAAATTTGTCTTTACGTGTACATTGACAGTTTCAATTACGTTAGAATAAATTTAGGTCGAGGGTTCAGAATCTCAATTTTGAAGGTTAAACACTCATAATCACACTATGTAAAAGATTGTAGAGATCCACGTTACATAGACAAAAATGATCTCGCGAGGCCAGTCAACGAATAGTGACATAAAGTTGGATTTTGATGAGAGAGCCCAATCATAATTTTTCCAAATGAATAGTATAATTTCATAATTCGGGAATTATTTGGTATCATGGCCAAATAATTGTACTAAGTAAATTAAAATCATGCCGTGCAAACACACGGCTTCATTGATTATAAAATATAAATATATGTAGCTTTCTATCTCCCCCAAGTCTTGAGTTAGGGAAGCGAACAATTTTCTTCACTAACTTTGTATGACATTTTATGACGAAAAGAAGTCAATTAGAAAATGGTGCATGTATGTATGTATGCATGACGTGTGGCTTATGTACAAGTAACCTAATGCCCCATGCCTTTCACAAAAGATTTTCCAACACTTTGCTTTAAGCACACGGGAGTCTTTGAATTTCTTTGCCTAAAACACGCCTTTTGTGCGTGGAATTTGTTTTTTTCTTTTTGGAATAGGACTGAACAGTGTTTGGCAAACCAACTATAATTTATTGAATAGTGCTATGTAACCTCCAATGTTATCAAAATCGGCCTAGCCGCCTAGCCGGTTCAACAGGAAACTGGATCCAAAACCATGTCAATCATGTCCGATCAATCGACTAGCACAAAAACAGCTCAAAACTCATCTAATAGAACAGTTTGACCATGAACCGGTGATCTGTTGGCACTTTTATTAATTTTTAATATAAAAAATTTAACTTTTTTTTAATTAGTGGGCCTCATGCAGTATTTGGTTAACAGACTAGCACAAAAACAACTCAAAAGTTGTGGAAGAGATCGGTTTGATCGTGAATCGGTGATCTGTTGGTAGTTTTACTAATTTTTAATATAAAATTTTTTAACTATTTTTATTAATGGGCATCACACACTATTATTATCAAAGGCACATAGATGAATTTTGAATGACGTGCTACTTTTATAGATGTACTTCTCTCAAATGATTTTATAAACTTTCAATGTGGGATATAAGTATTATAGATCCACTTCTTTCAAGTGTTTTCATAAATTTTCAATGTAAAATAGTGATATAGCAAAAAAAAAAAGGTTAAATTGCCCATCAAAACCATTTTCTAAATCAAATATATGATTTTGAATCACAACTAACTAAATTGTAATATCCACTTCCATCTTTTCATTTATTTAATTTTCAAATTTAACTTAAATTACACTTGATAATGAATCTCATTAACAAATATATATTTACTTTGAATTATTAATATGAAAATAAAAAAAATCTATTGATTTCATAGTATTTTATTGTTTGTATGTATTTATTTAATGCTTTCGATTTGACCCTAGTTAAATCTTTTGACCCTTCAACCTTCACCTTTTCCGAATAGATGTCCGGATCGATTTTCAAAACATCGATAGCCACACTGGGGTTGCAACCCCAATCCAAATATCTTTAATTTCACCTTTCATTTAGCTTATCATTTAGTGCCACCTATACTGGAGTTGCAACCACAGTGGGGTTGAATAGCATTTCTCTAATTTATTAGACCATTGGAATGCACAAGACACATACCAACTTGTGTAAGCCATATACTCTTATGCCAAATCATGCGTTGGTGTGTTTTTCATTTTTCAAACCAATATAATTAGTTGAACTCGGTTTTCGAGTTGGATAGTGTGACCAACAAATTTCTATTCCACTCATATTCATGCATAAGACTCTAGCATACTTCGACAAATCATTAGAAGCACATAACCTTCTCCTGTGGCCGTGCGACAATCGAGAATACTCTGACAATCAAGTCAGTTAAATGTAGACGTGTGGGATGAACAAGAGACATGAGGCATAAGGATATGTACGAATACAGAGTTGTAGAGAGGAAATAATAAGCTAAGTTATAAGTTGAGAGTATAAAATAGCATTACTTGTAAATGACATTAAATGTGGGCTTTTATATTAGAAGATATGAAGTAGTTATCGTTGGATGAATACATGTCTCCTTATCTCAAGGGCCGATACATCATCATCATAGGTGTCACTTCTGCAACTCTAGATTCAGGTGGCATTTCATAATTCTGAAAAATAAACATCTTATAGCCTAGATCTGACAAAAGAAAAACTAGAATAATAAGTTGACTAAATAACGTATGCTGTAAAGAGATCACACCAATCAATTGTTCGAAAGATTTTGTATGAACGATCTCAAAGATGAGAAAAGCTGTGGACGATGCCTTGTGGAATTAAAGACTCATCGCTTCAAAAATGAGTTGCAATAAATCGTTACACCAGCCTCGGCCATAAGGGTTTGGCCTCAACATGACTCCTCGACTAAGGTGAAGGCTTCACTTCGACTTCCTCTCTGATGGCCTCGATTAAGCCAAATAAGCAAGTGATGTGGATTATGGACCTGAAGTGGCTTGTTACCAACTGGCAAGTGTGTTGACCTATGGTCAAATCTTATGTTTTGATTATAACAAACAAACTATGTTTATCTCTAATTCTAATTTTCAAAATGTTACATGTTGCCAAATGTAAGACAAAACAATTGGACGAAATGTTGTCGATCAAGAAAGCCCAAGATAGAAAGCTCAAGATAAAGATCGATCAAGCACTCATGAAGAAAAACTTTGCGTCATTTCAAAATCAAGCAACAAATCGCGCACACGCGCCAAATTAATCGAAGACATTGGAACTAGATGTTCTTTAGCTCGTTTGTAAAGGTAAAACACTTTAATTCTTGACAATAACACATTGAAAGCTCAAGCGACGAAATTCTTATGCACGATAAAAATTCATGTCATTAAAAAACGTTTGCACAAAAAATATTTCTCAAATGTAAGATTTTCATCCTAATCTTGAATACTATTAAATATCACTTAAAATATCTAGTAAAAATATCATGCAAAATATTTACTGGCTGCAAACAAAAACATTGTTGACCCAGAAATGTCTGGTCATCCGGACGTCCGGTTTGCCAGCAACTCTCTAATTTTCGACCGTTCTAACAAGTTTCAAACGGTTATTTTTCTGGGGTCGTTCAGATCTGAATCGGACTTCCGGAAGGGTCGTCCAATTTGGCAAAAAAGTTGGCTTTTTCAACTGCTATAAATATCAACTTACATACCATCTATAAAGTGAACTTTTGAGCATTCAATTGATATTTCTTTGAGCAAACATTGTATTAATTTCTCATATCACTCATTATCAAATCATTTTGCGATTGAAAAGTCTTTGATCAAATTAATTATTGAAAATCATTCTATACATCAAAGACTTCCACACCTAACACTTGAGCTTCATTCATCGCTATCTATTAAAGTGTTAGCCCACTTCTCTTCTTGTACTCAACTTTGGAATCATCATCGATTAAGAAAAGAAGATTTCATTTGTAAATTTGTTTGAATTGTGGGTTGTGTTGAGGTCCGAAAAGCTCAACATTGTAAAACGATCGGGCTCCTTGTTTGTAAATCACCGAAAGTATTGTAAATGGTTGGATTGCACCACAAGTCAATCAACTCAGTGAAATTAGCCTTACTCGTATCGGAGAGCTTAGTAACAGAAGACGTACATCATTAGTTGGATTGAACCTACATAATTATATCGTCTGTACTCTCTATCCCTCTTTATTTATTACTTTCATATTTGTGTTTGTTATTTGAATCAATCTATCTAAGTTATTACGTGTTTGATTTTAAGTTAATTTTTCGAAAAAGTTTTAAAAACAAATTCACCCCCCTCTTGATTAGCTAGACGTGAACTATCAAAGTGGTCAATAATTAGTCTCATAAGATGAGACGTAACATAATTCATGTTGTGACATATATAAGAAAATTTGGAAAAAAACTAATGAACTCCAAGACACGAAAATCGTTATCTTTTAAGAGATGTTTCTCCTCTTTTCAACAAAGTCAAGACCGGGATATGATAGAAAATCTCTCTCAAGATACAATGGAGGCGTTGGATTCAAACTGTAACTATTTAATCAAACCAAGAAAACACTCTTTAATGAAATTGACGATGACAAGAAAAAAGAAAGAATAGAAAATAACAAATTTTTTAATATATCTTGCAAATGAGAATTCGTCCAAAATATATAGAAGTGGAGGCAACCTTTTGAATAGATGTGTCCCTTGAAATGAATGGACGCATCTGTTGGAAGAAACATACATATTCAAAGTCTTCTGTAACTAAAATTCTCTTGCGGGGGCAACCCCCATGGGGGACGCTGCCCCCTCGACCCCCGCGACCTGATCGGGCAGATTAATCCCCATTGCGTAGCGGCAAACACTAGTCGAGACGGCAAAACATTCGCAAAACAAAACATGAACACGCAAAAGATGAAAAATATCTAACAATTCATCCTTCCCCCCATCATAAAAATGTTTTTATTATAGAGATCAGCAAATTTGAACGAGCCTATTGTCAACCCAGTATCAAAGAATACTTTGGTGGGTAGATTTTTTACCTTTAGGTTGGTAGGACAGCGTTGAAAGGACGAGTGAAAATGAACAGCTGAAGACGACAAGGTACGTGGGAGTACCGTAAAAAAATGCAATTCTAGATTAGCCGTCCAATGGTTCAAAATGACTTTCTAAAGATATTATGCATTTCAACACAGTAGCTGAGGAGAGAATTTTTTAACCTCGTGTGTGTTTAGTTGTCCCAAATTCAACAATATCCTGCCAAATTTCTTGACAAAATGTAAAGTTGCTATTTATGCTGACCGTCCAGACCGATGTTATTGACATGTGTTATGCATGCCACTTGCCAGCATAAATTAGCCTGCAATAGAATAAGCCCCCCATAGGGCAACACAACCAAAAGTAAAGCATGGAGAAGACAGTTGAAGCATACTGCTTACAGGTACAATAACCATGGTCCAATTCAACAGCCATGATTACGGATTCATTAATTCGAAGTATCATCTCAAACACAGTCATTGCAAGAACAAAGAAAGCATGAGGCTGCTTATAGGAAATAAGATTGTACGTCTAGAGGCAAATTAAAAAAAGCTCGTGCTTTAAGCACAATTTTCCTGGGTTCTCAACAGGTATACAGAATTTAAGTACTTCATTGCAAATTCCAAGCATATAATAGAGCTATCTAAAGACCACCACCCCTCAGAGCAAGGACCAGGTGAAGAACAGAGCCACCCTCAATGTTGTAATCTTTAGCAGTTTTGTCATCTGCAAGCTGCTTGCCAGCATAAATGAGCCTGCAATAAAAAAAATTTCCCATCACCACATTTCTCAGAATAATTTGTACCTTTAATTTTCAACCAACAATTATGACCCCTGTAATCAAAGTAAAACAACAAAGTCTAGAGGCTAAACCACAAGAACTTGTGTTTATATGTTATAAAATGGCTGATTATAATGCTGGATCTAATTTCTCAAGGCCGGAGGATATTTTCTTCAGTAGACAGTTGTTCCCCTAACAGCATAATTGTTAAAAATGACATGGTCTCACGTTCACTGAATTCTGTCTCCTGACTCTCTGTTTCTCCTGCAAAACATGGTCCTTCCCATGGCTCTGGCAACTCTACCACCATGATATCACTCTTAACCATTTTGTGTCAATGGTTTCCTTTTTGGTTCAACTATTTGTAATGAATGGATATGCACGGTGCGTGGATGAAGATCATATTAATATTAATAACATTAGTTTTATCCTCGTTACAATTAAGATCAATTGAATTAATCCTTATGTCATTAAATTCAATCAAAAGCTATCTCTTTTGACAGATCAAATGAAATCAAATCTTTTATCACTACCTCATAACAAGTTAATTTTGGTCTATATACTCTTATTAACTGAGGTAAGTATCCGGCCGTAAACCTCAAGGCCTTGTGGAATTAGTCGAGGTGCGCGCAAGCTGGCATGGACAACCACGGTTATCAAAAAAAAAAAATTTACTTGTTCTCTTAAATCTGGTCATCATAATACAGGTGTCAACACCTAAATATCTTACTCTTAGTTTAACATCAACTGACACGGAATTACTTCCTGCATATATTGTTTTTTCTTATATTATATATTCTATGTAACTGTACAACTATCTTTAACATCCTCATTCATGCTGCCTATAACGTATAGTTTTTTCATTATTTAAATGTCTCAACAGTCACTACAACAAAAGTTAGCTGCTGTTGTTATAACAGTTCTATAAAACTTTATGGTAGGTAGCTTCCAATCACAAAATCTATAAAACCTTTCCCATGTTGTCCACTCCCTTTAGACCCATGCATTATAACCTGCTCCCATCCTAAACCTTAATAAAAATCAAACTTAAACAAAAGCCAAAGCTCTTTTAGATAAGATGATCCTACATTTAACCCCCTGTCGAACTTGTTCCTATGATGATTAAAAAACATTCCATATATCTTGTCATACTTTTGCTTAACTCAGAACCCTTAGATGTCAAAGTATTTCTTTAAACTTATTATTTACTCTCCTCCTACTCTTATCAAGTAGAACTATATCATAAGCCAATAACATTTATCAAGGGACCTTATCTTGAATTTCCTAAGCTCATTAATGTCAAAAGCAAAATAATAAGGGCTTAGAGTATGACATCGATACAAGCCTATCTAAATGGGAAATTCCTATTACTATATCCCACATTCATACGTTTCTTAATACTAATGTATCTAACGAAAAGTTTGTTTCTTTCTATTTCCACCAGAGCACTTGCATCGTAGCTCTAGTTCAATTTTCTTGCTCTTTCCATAATTCATTAGCAAGTTTAAATTACCCTCTAAAAATTAGGTTTTGAAAGGAAATGGAATTAGATCCATTTAGATTGCTGCTGTTGATGATGAGTACTGTTACTCATACCAAAAGAAAAAAGAATCAGCAATGTCGCCTGAGCTGAGAACCATTTGAGTATTATCACGAAGCTTATATAGGTTTAAGCTATGTGCACATACAAATTTGCAAGCACATCATTAGCATGTTTGTGGTGGTGAAGAGTGAGAAGAAATGGAAACAATGGGTTCCCGAACACAGAGTCTATTATGAAGCAAGCAGCAGCACTGAAGGTTCAATAAATTACTAAAGTAAGAAGAAATAAATTCTAGAGAAGTGTTACATAATCTAAAGAATTTAACAAGTTGAATCTAAAATTGCATCACATGGACAAGTGACATCGGGTAAAAATTCATAAGTTTAAGAACTCAGCATGAGCTGTTTCAGAAACAAACAAAATTGGCAGGCATAAGATAAGATGATTAAAGAAAAACTCATCACAAAACCTTTGTTGGACTGGTGGAATTCCTTCTTTCTCCTCAACCCGTTCCTTGATACGTTCAATAGTATCAGTTGGCTCAATATCGATTTCAATTTCTTTTCCTGTGAGTGTCTTCACCTTGATCATAGTTCCTCCCCTGAGCCTCAAAACAAGATGAAGTGTTGATTCCTTTTGGATATTGTAATCTGCTAAGGTCCGGCCATCTTCCAATTGTTTACCAGCAAATATAAGCCTCTGCTGATCAGGAGGTATACCTTCTTTGTCCTGGTATTATTGTCATGCTAGCTTAAATTCATAATAATTACCAAAATGAAGAAATTCAAAATTATTATCAAACATTTTAGTGAGTCAACACTGCTCTCGGTCTCAGATTATAAATACTAACTGCAGCCTACTAAAATTTAGACAACACTTTCCAGCACAAACAAGAGTATATAATGTAGATGATCACAATTATATAAAAATGAAAAACTAAAACCACCCATTTCTTGTACATACACATACAAGGCCATGCTCAGAACATGTTTTTGCAATTATTGAAGTATTCTAATTTCCAAGTTCAATGAGCCAGAGAGATTTAATCGTAACAATTCAACCAACTTTTTTATAGTTCAAAGTGAGTCAGTTTTCCCAGTGGCTTGAAATCAATATAGTTTTAGAGGCAGAATTATCATTTTTCTTTTGTTTTTTTATTCAAGGGAGAAGAACTGGGGATTTTTACAATATAAAGAGTAAAGCTTTGAAAATGCGATAGGAGGATGTGAGTTAACTGCGTTCTCACTAAATCTAGGACTAATGAATCTTCTCTTCCTCTTATTCCATTGGATTATACTTCTAATTGTCAATGCAAAATCAGGGCACCTAGAATAATTAGGGAAACTATATCATCTTGGTACTTGTTTTCTGCATGCAATTTGACAAATAACAAAAGTCATGACAAACCTAAAAGTTAATTAATGGTGCTTTAACTACAATCTCTCCTTCCATGCCACATATATGAAACAGTAAAATAGCCCAACGGCGTTTTATTTCTACCTAAAAGGCAAACGATACATGTACTAGCGTTTCAATTTCCCGCCAAGATTCAACGGTGATCAATGGTATAAACAAAACATATATTTGTTGGCATGCTCCCTAGCATCTGTACACAAGGACCAATGACTTATGAAAAGAGCCTAATTGAAACCAAAACCCCAGCAGAAACAATAATTCAAAACCCTAGTTCTATATGTGCCACAAATCAATAAAAAGTAAAAACAGAAACCTCTAACAAAAAAAGCAGTAAAAGCCCCAAATTAAAGAAATATAACTAAATCAGGAAAAAAAACAAAAAATCAGGATAAAAAACCTGAATCTTGGCCTTGACATTGTCAATAGTATCGCTGCTCTCAACCTCGAGAGTAATGGTCTTTCCGGTTAGAGTTTTCACGAAGATCTGCATCTTTCCCGGCTTGTTTTACCCCCGCGTTAGGAATTCGACACGGAGAGGAACCTGAATAAAATATTTTCGCCTGACAGCTTCGATTTCAAGCGGGTATGGCGATATCTATGGGTTTAATTGATTCCCTGTTTGATTCTAAATCTTTCAAAATTCATTTTGAGCCCTTGTTGAATAATATTTCTCGTTGTATCAATAATTTTTCTTACTTTTTTATCACAAATTTTTTATTATATCACTATTTAAAATACATTTTTTCATCGACAATATCCATTACACACAACCTCAATGTGGACCATGAAATCTGAACCCTACAATTATTCTATGTTTGCTATCCAATGATCTTTTACGATCCTTCCCTGTCAATTATTTGACAAATAACATTGATACATGTATATCAAAATTTATATAATAAATTACATAATGTTACACGACACTCTATCATTTGTCAATTTAAAATACAATCAATTTTTTCATCAAATCTTTTCTCTTTATATCATTTCTCGATAAACGTTTATGTACCATTTTTATGTACAAGAAATTGAAGCAGGTGATCTCTAACCTTTTCTAAAAATGCAAATAGGTCCCATAGTTTAAAGGTTGGAAATGCCCTTCCAAACATTTCTTCTATATATTAAAAGTGGCTATGTAACGAAATTTCTTGTTTTTAACGGAAAAACTAACGGAATTTGTTGTTTTAACGGACTATGTAACGGAATTTCTTGTTTTAAACAGGCAGCTGCACCTTCTTTCAGTGTTTTTATCATAACTTTGTATTCCGATATATTTAACGGAAAAATTAACAGAATTTGTTGTTTTAACGGACTATGTAACGGAATTTCTTATTTTAAACAGGCAGCTGCACCTTCTTTCAGTGTTTTTATCATAACTTTGTATTCCGATATCCGATTGAGCCGATTCAAAATGCGTTGAAAAGCTAACTCATCTGTCTACAACTTTGATTTCAAAATGCGTTGGAAAGTTAACTCTTCTGTATACAATTTTGATTCAGACATCATTCTCCAATTCAATCACTTTCTATGCCAAAAATAGGTCTCAATATGAGACTACAATATTGGAGCATAACTTTTCGGTTGAAAATTGATTTGTGATCATTTTTTGCCTAAATTTGATTCTATTGACGTCTTCCTTTATCCAATTGACTCCGAACACTCTCAAATCTTCATCGTGAGGTTCAACACAATTTTTAAGTATTTACATTTTAGTCCCCGAACTTTGGATCCCTTACAATTTAGCAATTTCTCAAAATTTGTCAACTTTTACTTATTTTCTTCGATCTCACCAACTTACATCACAACATCAAAATCACACATCTAATTATTTATCAATTACATAAACATTACATCATTAATTATTTAATTAACCAAAAAAATTACATCTTTATTAATAACAAATTAATTCTTAAACAAAACTATTATAATTAACCAAAAAAATTACATCTTTATTAATAACAAATTAATTTTTAAACAAAACTATTAAATATAAACTACGCAAACGTGCATTGCACGTTGCTTGCACCTAGTATATAAATATGTGACTGAAAGACCTTAGAGCGACTACATTCAAAATTTTGTTATTAGTTCGTGCAAAATGGACTTACCGAAATATTGAAGCACAAAAACTTCAATCCGCATTTTTCTACTTAAAACAATAAAATATGGATTAAGAAAAAAGTTTAAAAAAAAGAAAGAACGGAAAAATTTTATCTGTCCCAAACCCCGCCCAACCACTACTACTCCATATGCAATCATGCCAATATCTCCATCTCTACTTGCGCTCCCAACCTTCCATTGAGAAATTAAGGGAATGTCTTCCCTAGTTATCGCATTAACCACAGATCTCCCTGGTTATTTTCCATCACAATGAAAAATACCATGGTTTGGGATGCGAGAGGAAGAAATTCTCCATTGGTGACGGTGATGACGGTAGGGCACCGTGGGTGCTATAAACTATAGAAAGAATTCTACTTTGAAATCATCGTACTAAAATTATAAAAGTACTCATTTGCTCTTTGAAAACTTAGACATGTGCACTAAACATGTAAATTTCATGGAATTTAGGATGAAAACCATCCAAAAGTTCTTCACCCACTTGGGAATATAAAGGTTTGGGATGATGCTATCAAAAAACTTAAAAGGTTCGGGATCTATTTGCATTTTTTTGAAACAATTAGGTCACCAATGCAATTTTCATTATTTTTGTCTTTTTTTCAATTATTTTATTTTAAGATTTGGGAAATATTCCAAATTTAAGTGTTGAAAGAGAAATAAGAATATCTTTGGTTTTAGTTAGATAAAAAGTTCCTTAAATTTTCTAAACGCACTCAACTTCCAAATTTTAAAAATGACCCTCAACTTTTCAAAAAAACATGCCAATGTAACCTTAAAAACCTAAAGCGAACTGGATTCGATTTCGATATGTAATAAGATTGATGTTACCACTCCCAAATATTCTTCGAGCAAACTTTCGTTTTAAGTGATGAAGATTGAAGAATATTCTCGCTTGCATTATGGATGAACGAAATATACGGCCACGTCCCTATCCTTGAGCCACTTGATATTGAAAATTTTTTACCTACCGTTCAAGAAAATCGTTATAAAATAAAGTAGCCAACTAGTATTAATATTTTTTTTCCAATTAGTCCCTATTTGATACACATTCTTTTGAAACTCATTTTCAATCATACATTTTTCAATAAAATAATATTTTTCATCACATCAATAATTTTTCTTTATTTTTTAATCACATATTTCTCATCATATTACTATTTAAAATACATTTTTTTCTCAATAATATCAATCAAACACTTCCTTAATTACAATTTTTTTCATCTAATCTACAAGAATATCCTACACTAGTGAACAATTACGATGATTTATTGAAAAATGAGCCTTAGGATGTGTTTGATTACAAAAATGAAATTTGTTTGGAAAGAAAATAAGTTTTATGCAATTAAGTTATTGAAAAGTGTGAATTGCCTAAAATAATAAAAACCTAACCTCCCCCAAAAAAGAAAATATTTTCTTTATTTTTGAGGAAAACGTGATCAAGTGACTAACTTTTGAAAAATACTTTTCATGAAAAAAATTGTTAATCAAACATTCCAAAAGAAGAAACAGAGATGGGCATTTTTTTTTCCAGAATCTGCTAGAACCAATCAGTTCGGTTCCGAATCCTTTATTAAATGGATCCATTTGGGACCATGCATTTAGAACCGATCGATTTCGGTCTAGTTATTGATAATACTTTAAGAACCAATAGTGAATTCGACTTTCCCTCGTTTCTCTCTTAGTTGGTATATTGCAGAAATATGCACTAGATATTTGAATATTAGATCTTAAAATTATTTCACGCTAAAATTACATTTTCCATACATTTTCTTCTTTCTTTTACTGTAGAATTTAATGGATAATCAACATTTAAATTTAAATAATGTTATACACACTTTACGAAAATTCATAGATTTAATGCAATCTCATAGAAAAAATTGTATTTTTAGTTCAATCTATCATAAATATTCAAATTTTTCGTTGTTTTCAAAGTTGTCGATCATCAAAATCAAGATCTTCTCCTTGAAAATTATTGAGCATAATTTGATTATAAATACTATATACATTTTTTTAATATATTGTTGCATTAATTTTCCTAAAAATTAATTTTGATCCAGATTTTACAGTTTATATTAGTTTAATAATTTATCATTTTTATGCCCTTATTAATTGTTCTTGAGCCTTACAGTGTGTTTTTCTTTGTTGCATTATTTTATTAATTTATATATTAGTAGATTATAAGAATGATAAGTGATTTTAACTCCATTTTATTTACTTATAATCTGAAAAGTAGTTTAATATTTTGTTTTTATAAACTTTTTAGTACAAAGAATCGAACCGGATGGAATCGAACCAGTTGATTCAGTTCTATAGTTAGATATGAAAACAATTATTCCATTTTTTAGATTTCCATCGATAGTCGATTCGGTTCGATTCCGAAAGGAACCGGACCACGTGCACCTACTCCTAATTAGAAATTTGGGTGAAAAATGATTTTTTTTAAATAAAAAATAAAACAAAGCAAATACACCCTTATTTTTCCAGATTATCGAAATAGGAATTTAGAATTTTATTTAGTTGTGATTTTGTTGCCCCACTTTCTGAAATATTGAACTACTTATTCCTTACACACACGTAAAAACACTTACTCTTCTTTGAAAAAGGTGAAGTATGATCAATGGGATCGAACAAGGGATTGAATCACCAACATAACCGAATAATAATGAGTTCAACGAATTCACTATGTGCCCTTAACACGAATTTGCTCTCTTCTATGGTGCTTTTAAAAAAAACAAAGAAATCGTCTTTCATTATAGAACGATTTTCATTTCTTACATAAGCCGTACAACAATTTGCAAGAGTTTTAACAAACACAAATTTGTAGTTTGTACTCAGAAACACGGAATGTAATATATTATGTATTGCATTTTTATATCATGGTATGTATCATGATTAGCGTTAATCTCTTCCAACGAAACTCTAAGTATGGCCAAGTAGTATCTACACAGCAAGTAAACCAAGGCTTGCACTCTACGTCATTTTGCCCATGTGGCATTTGGTTGAACCCCCATAGCTAAACCCCAATTTGGCCTAAACCCCATGGGGAGCTGAGCGTTCATGGTTGAGGAGAAATAGGTAGAGGCATATGAAAGAAGATCTTCATACAAGATCTTGTATCATGTGAAATGTGGGACAACTTACTGAATATGCAGCTCTACTCAATCAAACAAATCAAGTATAGTCTTACATGTCGGCCTAGGGCTGCCAAGCCGTCACAACATTAAATGCAGTATGGCCTAGGAATGATTGGTTGATGCCTATGATAAAAGGCCCCAACCGCTAGGATGAGATAACGTATCTTTTCATCCAACGACTCTTACTCATCATTTTCTACTATAAAATCTCACACTTAGTGTCTTTTCAAGGTAATGT